CTGGTGTTGGGTGCTGGGCACCGATAACCAGCTTGTTGGGTTTATGTCCCTCCAGCTAGAGTAAGAGGGACAAGCCTGCATTGTCGCTGCAGAGGGTCCCGGGAGAGCACATGTGAAGAGCTGGCCTTCTTCCTTCACAGACACACAGAGTTGGCATGGAGGGCAGGATCTGCTCGGCAGTGAGGATTCTGCGTAATCACCTAGTCCCTGTGAGACCTCAGGCAAGACCCCTTCCCTCTCTGTGCTGCCAGGGAGACAGGGCGACACAGCAGCTGGAGACTCTCTGGTTCCCCCCCACACACATACTTCCTGCTTACTCCTCTGCTGGGAAACAAGGGTCAGCCTGGTGGCCTTGGCCTTGGCAGTGGGCCTGGAGCTAGGGCCGCTCCCGCAGGCACTCTGCCTGACTCCAGGGCAAGCCCAAGGCCTGCCCTTCTGACGGTGGCAGTGCCCACGAGTTTACCATGGTAGCTTCTCTGGGTGTAGCTGGGGTGCACGGTGGCACCCTGCAAGCCATTTGACTGACGAGCCTCCAGAGCAGATATGGGGGTGGGGGGGAGTCTCTCCTCCAGAAGAGCTATGTCCAGACTTCTCTACCCGGGCTGGCTTCAAACTGTGATCCCCAGATCTCAGCCTCCTGAGTTGCCAGGATGACAGGCGTGAGCCACAGATGCCCAGCCTCCCTTGAATGTTTACACTGGGGGAGGAGCAGTCATGGGGAGGTGCTGGGCTGGACAGACAGCGCTCCCACCAAAGGGGCTTCCTGTCTCCATCCCAAAGACCACACAGGCCCCGAGAGATGGAGAGGGCTGCTCAAGGAAGGAAGGGTGTGGCAGAGCTGACTGGGTGCCAGCCCCACACCAGTGGCCACATCTGGCTGCCGCCAGCCCAGCCCCTCCTGCTGGCCATCCGTCCCTTACTGCCACCTCCTCCTACCATCCGGGCTCCCCCACTGTCCCCCAGACTTCCACAGCAGCCCCATACTGGTGCCTCCAGGTCCCATGGAGCCATGGAAGGGCTTTGTCCAGAATCTCAGAAGCCACTGGCTACTTACTACAAACCCCTCGCACATAGGAAGGCCACCAAGCCACCCTCACCACTGTCCCTGGTCCCCCCCCCCCAGACACCCTGCTCAAAGTCTCTGTCCACGCCCCTCCCTGCCTAGATCCACCTGCAGCCATCAGCCCAAAGTCGATGAGGGCAGACCAGCAGGGGGACCAGCTCTGACCCCCACCTGCTTCCTCTGTCCACCTGTCCCTGTGACCTGGAACCCAGGGTTCGCTCTACCTGAGCCTGGAGGCCCAAGCAAGGCCCAGGCTGAGTTGCTACCTAGCTGTTACTGCCCCAGCCAGTGAGACTTGGAGTGTGGGAGCCGGCGTCACAGAGGAAGCAGGCCAATGACCCAGCGTGGGGCCCTGGGAGCCAGATGCCCACCTGGACACCCTAAATCCAAAGGTGGACTCTTCTGCCTCCCTCCCCTTTAGAAGGAACTCACTTACCACGCAGGGTTCTGAAAGGAAAGGAGAAGCAGGCCCCCACATCAGGCCGGCCCTCCGCAGACACATCAGACCAGGTGGCCTGGGCACTTGTGTCAATTAAAACCATCTTGCTGGCAATGTGAGCCGCTGAGAAGATGAAAATTGCCACTTCCCGTCCAAACAGTCCAATTACTTGGAATTCACAACACAAAACCAGCTGGGAAAAGGCATGGTACCCACTGGGTGGACACCAGAGAGCAGGACCATGTTGGGGGGGGTGCTCTAGGAGGGAGCCACATGTCCCCAATCGGGGAAAGGCAGCCCAGGGGAGAGGGCAGCAGAGGGAGGAGGACAGCCCAGGGGAGAGGGCAGCTTAGGGGGCAAGGACAATGGGGGGGTGAGGGGGGAGAGTATGACAGGAGGAGAGGAGAGGGGGAAGGGGAGGCAGCTGTGGGCAAGGGCAGCACCGGGCACTGGCAAGGGACCTCTTCCTTTGGCTAGAGCTCTGAGACGCTGGTGGAGGTGAGCCCCTACCCAGAAAGCCATAGACTGTTCTGGAGATGTACACAGAATATTCTCCAGACTGCAGTTTTCCCACTCAAGCCCGCTGGCTGAGGGGCCTTTAGTACCTTTGACCTGACTGAGACCTTCCTGAAACAAGGTCAGGGCTGGAAGTCAAAGGCGCCACCCTCACTACGGGGGAGGCAAACTCACCCCATCCCAGCTACCCAGCAAGGACCTTGCTCCATCCAGCAGCCTCCCAGCCACCCTCGGACAACTGCAGACAAGAAGGAAAACATCAGGGAGAGGCTGGCGGTCAGCCATGGCTGTGGGTTCTTCTAGTCTGAACCCCCCCAGGGTGCCTGGCCCTCCCGGCGTGCGGGAGCCCCGTGGTGGGGATCTTGACTGTCCAGGATGGAGGCCATCCCCAGCACCCACGGAGCACGGGAAGCCCAGGGACCGCGCTCTCCACACGGCCAGTGACATGTGAGCAGTTTATTTTCGTCGTTTTAGTTCAGAACGTTCTGTGGTACTCAGATCTGGGTCCGGGTGTGTCTGGTACTCGGAGAATCTGTTTGGAAATGTAGAAGGGTGTTCTGGCTCATGTGTTTCTCCACCCAAACCTCAGCCTGACCCTTGCCCCCTGACCTTTGCGCCTTGCCTACCCAGCCAGGAGGCGCCGACACCAGTCCAGTTCTCAGGAGCGACGGTGGCCTGTCCAGGCAAAGGCCCACATGTGACTCAGCCTTAGTAAGAAAAGCAGTGCAGCCCCTGCCGTGGCCCAGAGAAGCCAGGAGAACCCAAAGTGTGACTCCACTGGCCTCAAATGTCCCGCACAGGACAGAATGGACTAGGAGTGGCCAGGACTGGGAACAGGGGCGCCCACTTCCCAGAAACAGGGTTGGCTTCTGAGAGCAAGCTAGACCGGGGTAGTGCTGCTAAACCCTCACCCCCAAAGGATGGCATTCGGGGCACATGGACTGCATCTCGATATTTAAACAGTGTTTGGTAGGCTGGCCCAGCCCTGCGGTCCCAGGAACAAAGCCAGCTCTGTCCCCAGGGACATTCAGCCCCACCAGGCCCCACGGGGGTGGACACAGAATGGGAGGTGATCTGACACACAACTGTGTGCAGGAAGCCTGGTGACCACCCCAAGGACCCCACAGGCCCCCCATCTGTGTGGGTCCCTTACTTGTGTGGGTTCCCTACCTGTGTGGGACCCCTATCTCTGTAGGACCCCTACCTGTGTGGGACCCCCTACCTATGTGGGATGTGACCCAAACTCTAAACTGCCTTTGTGTCCTTTTTTGGAGGGACGGGGTGCTGGTCCTAGAGCTTAAACTCCAGTCCTGGCCATTGTCCCTTAGCTTTTATGCCCAAGGCTGGTGTTCTATCACTTGAGCCACAGCTCCACTTTCGGCTTTGAGGTGATTAACTGGAAATAAGAGCCTCTCGGACTTTCTTGCCCAGGCTGGCTAAGAACCATGACCCTCAGATCTCTACTTGCTGAGTAGCTAGGATTCCAGGCGTGAGCCCCCAGTCCTGGGCCTATGTGTTGCTCCAGGAGAGAATGACCTTGCCTGGCCTTCCTCAGTGTCCAGCCCAGCCTACATTCCTCAGTCGGCAGCCAGAGCACCCCATCTCTGCCTTCACCCTCTCACATTGCTAGCTGACCCTGGCCCTCCTGAATCCTCTACAAACCCCCTTTGCCACTCACACTCCCCGAGCCCAGGGCTTAGAGGGAAATGCGTCCTTGGCGGGGGCGGGGGGGGGGGGCTCTAAACGTGAAGCCCTGCTGGTGAGGCGCTGTGTTCCTGGGGCCTAGGCCACACGCAGGGAGGGGAGCTGGAAAAGAGGTGCCCGGTGGCCACGCACCACACACACACGGGGCACAGTGGCCTCCCCTGCTGGCAGCACTCAGGGGCTGCTGTCACTCATGGCTGCTGGAGGATGATCCAGGCTCACTTCTGGACGCCACACCACACACCTTCCTCACTGGCTGGTCTAACCTGCTCTGCTTGCCCTAATGAACGGCAAGCCCAGAGGCTTTTCTGTGCTCTGTGGGCCTACTGATCAGTCGGGGGGAGAGGCCTGCACACCATGGGCCTACTGGTCAGTCAGGGGGAGGGTTCTGCACTCCAAGGGTCTATTGGTCAGTGGGGGGGGGGGGGGGGGGGGAGTCTGTGCTCTGTACGTCTACTGATGAGTTGGGAGTGGGGGTCTTGGGCATGCAGAACTCATCCTTCATGTTACACAGAGCTGCAGGATCCCAAGAGAAACCCTGTGGCTCTCTCCTCACAAGTGAACAGCTACGACACAGGGCAGCTGTGCTCCCAAGTCACCCAGCAGCCCCCACAAACACGCATGTGGCACTGGGACCCCAGCCTGAGTACACGGAGTCCCAGGGGACATCACTGATGCCCATGCTTGGAGCCAGGCATGCCCCCCCCACCTCTCGGGAGCGGCCTCTCATCCACCTTGCTGGCCAAAATCCTCGGGGACCCCAGACCCAGGAGGGCACAAGGACAGCCTCTGTTCTGTCCCCACCTGACCTGGAACCTGTCCCATGGAGACCGTTCGCCTGGCCCTCAGTTTAGGCATCAGCACCCACAATGGCGGCAGTACCTTGGAGGCCTCCACAGTCCCTGGGGCCAGCCCTTGGGCTGGTTTCCCCAGGCCTCTGGCCAACAGTAGGCCAAGAGCACCGTGCCAGGACCCCCGCCCCAGTGCGGGGCAGTGCATTAGATATGCAATGATCTGTGAAAGCATTCATTTGCTGATCTTATTACCTCAATCAAAAGCAGTTTTGCAGCCATCAGTAACGTGCACGGGAGATTTCCCTGGTGTGAGTGCACCCACTCCCCCCACCCCCTGCCCTCTCTCCAGCAGCCTGGTGAACACGCACTGCACAGGCAGAGAACTGCCGCTGAAAACTCCTCGTATCCCACCCGGCACGTGAGTGGCGTGGACGTTAGTGGGCCACCCCCACCCCCACCCCCGCCAGCGCAGCCTGGAGCTCACCTGATCCCTTTGTTCTGAGCAATGCTATGCAGGGACAGTCGGGACACGGCAGAGATGACCTGGGGAGACAAGGGAGAGAGCATCTGTCATTTCACAAGCAAACAGAAAGCCCAGCCCCAAACCGCAACCATGTGTTTGGTGCTGATCCAGAACTGTTAGCCAAACACCTACATAGCTTAGCACCTCTCGTCTCGGTAAGAGACACAGAGCCGTGCATTTTGGATTTAGCACCAACAGTGTATCTATGGTGCAAAATCCATTGCTCGCAGCACTAATATTTGCTGAGGGCTGGTGTTCTCCCCTGGGGAGGAGCACGTCTCTGGGTGGCCCAGGGCTGCGCAGCTACCCTGACCCAGCTGTGCCAGCCCTGCTGAGTCTCGGGCTGATGGAGGTCTGTCCCACAACATCAGCTATAGCAATGACTGCTCTGCTTCCTCGGCATGCCAGACCTCGTCCTGCTCGGTGAGCTGGCCTCACCTACCACACTCAAGAGTCCTCAGCAAGCCAGGCCCCAAGGGCTTACGCTTGCAATCCCAGCTACTCAGGAGGCTGAGCTCTGAGGATAGGGTTCAAAGCCACCCTGGGCAGGAAACTCTTACCTCCAACTAACCAGCAAAAAGCCAGATGTGGAAGTATGGATCAAGTGGTAGGGTTCCAGCCTTGAACAAATAAAGCTAAGGGACAGCCCCCAGGCCCTGAGTTCAAGGCCAAGTACTGGGGCACATGTGCGCACACGCACACAGCTCTCAGCAGCTATTCTACTCATCTTCATCTTCAAAAATTTCACTGCAAGCAGACTTGAAGAGAGAAGGTTCTGCTCATGAACCTGGAGTAACTGAGGCGCGCGGGGGGGGGGGGGGGGGGGGGCTGACCCAGGAACACAATGTATGACACATACAAGACAGAAATGGACTCTCCCATGGTTCATTTAAGAATTTAAGAGGGTTCATAGGGCACTGAGCGTGCCTGACACCAAGTGCTGGAGAATCAAGCATGAGGCTCAACCTAGACACAACACCACATGTGTGTACAAGTACGCATACATGTGCGTGTGTTTGCATGCACATAATATTACTTGTATTTGTATCTGTACCTGGATGGGCATGTGTGCATGTATGTGCTGCATGTTCTAGTTAGTGCACTCTATGTGTGTGCAAAATAAGAAAACAGGCCAGGTGCTGGTGGCTCACACCTGTCATCCTAGCTACTCAGAAGGTGGAGAACTGAGGATTACGGTTCAAAGCCAACCCAGGCAGGAATGTCCATCAGACTCTTATCTCTAATCAACCACCAGAAAACGGGAAGTGGTGCCGTGGCTCAAGCGGTGGAGTGCTTGCCTTGAGCTGAAGAGCTGAAGGACAGCGCCCAGGCCCAGAGTTCAAGCCCCACAACCGGCAAAAAAATAAAATAAATAAAGTAAATAAATAAGAAATGGTCATGAAACCTATTCACCTCCCCTCACAGACACCTGCTGTGGGCATTGGCTGTCCCGGGGAACTGAACTCAGATGCATTTTACAGATGTCACCCCTCTGGGTTCCTCACAAAGCCATTCCGCCACGCACACCTGGACAGAGACCGCTGTCTTGCCTCCTGCCTGGGCACACACCAGACAGTGATCCACCTACTTTGGGGCTTTCCTGGATTCACAGGCATAGAGCTGCCACATCCAGCTTCCCTCTATTCTTCCCTGGCTGGCCCAGTACCGTGATCCTTCCCAAGCTCAGCCTCCTGTGTAGCTTGGGATGCCAGGCACCCAGCTGGTGCCACTGCACCAGCTATTAGTTAAGAGTTGGGTTTCAGCTGGCTCAGGAGGACTACAGTTCAAACCCTGCTCAGGCAGAAAAAAACCTGCAATTCCATGTCTGATTAACCAGCAAAAAGTCAGACCAGAAGCATGGCTCAAGTGGTAGAGTGCCAGTTGTGAGCAAGAAAGCTGAGCAAGAGCATAAGGTTCTGAGTTAAGCTACAGTACCAGCGTGTACACACGCACACGCACACGCACAGGCATGCGCACACACAAAGGGTTGGGAAGGGGGGGAGGGTCCTCAAGAACTTTCCTGCCTAAACTTGCCCTGAACCTTGATCCTCCTAATCTCAGCCTCCCCAGTAGCTAGGATACAGACGTAAGCCACCAGTGTCCAGCATCCAGCAGCTATTTTTATATGTGTGCAAGTACTAGGGGGCTTGAATTCAGGGCCCTGGGCACTGTGCTTTAGATTTTTTTGTGGGGGAGGGGGGGTCCGGTCGTGGGCCTGAACTCTGTCTGGGCCTGGGTGCTGTCCCTCTTCACCTCAAAGCTAGCGCTCTACCACTTGAGCCACAGCTCTATATCCAGCATTTTTTTGCCAGTCTGGGGACTTGTCAGTGCCTGGGCACTGTCCCTGAGCTTCTTTTGCTCAAGGCTAGCTACTCTACCACTTGAGCCACAGCACCACTTGCGGCTTTTTCTGTGCATGTGGTACTGAGGAATCAAACCCAGAGCCATGAAGCCACCTTCCCAGTCTTCCACATCCAGCTTTTTGCTGATTAATCTTCTGCAGGCTGGCTCCAAACCTCATTCCTCAGATCAAGTAGTTCGAATTACTAGTGTGAGCTCCACCAGCAATATTTAAAGAAGGGCCCTCTCTCGGCTGGTGGCATGGTAGACTTGGCCCCCAGGGAGGACGCGTGCGTCTTCCTGTCGATGGCTGTTTCAGAGGCTGGGACTCTCAGAAGTTATGGATCCGTGAACCACAGAGTTCTTCTGTTTCCTTAGACAGAACTCAGTCAGGCGGTTGTGCAGCTGGCCCAGCAGGGGCTCCTACCCGCCCCTGCTACAAGGGGCCTTTCACAAATAACAAGCAATGTGGCTTTGGATGTTCTAGACTTTCAAGGGCTCTATAAGTATTTAGAATAAAAATTAAAGCCATCTTGCAACATGTCTTTTGCTGTAAATATCAGACCTGGTAGGGCTTGTCAGCCACCCCACTCCTATGCCTCCCTCAGCAGACATAGCTTATCAACTGACAATACTCCCAGAGAGCGGGCAATGCCAGTCCAGGCGATGCAACTCATGTGCAAACCCGGAGTGCAACGGGCAGAACCCAACTCCAGGAGCTGTAGCCGGTTGACATGGGCCTCTGTCCATGCATCTGAGGGCCCCAGGAAGAGCGTGGTCCCTCCAGCTGCCCTGACTAGCTGCATGAGCAGTGTGTGGACAGCTGGGTTCTAGACCCCAGCACCAGATGGGAAGCTCTGGAAAAGTGTTCAAGGTCCCCAGCTCTGCCCCAGAAGCCCTGTCCCTCCAGCCAGCCACATGCTTCCTGGCTGGTATTTTTGCACAGGGAAGTATACTCAGACCCACCCCAGTAGATCCCATCCCGGAGCCACGGTCAGATGAGGGGCTCTCATGTGAATGTAGCACTCATCGGTGACTTTTATCAAAAGGCTCCAGGCTCAGGGCCCCTGGGGACTTGTGACAATGTAAATGTCAACCCGTGACATTTCCCAACTCTCATTTCCGCTTCCCAGCTTACACCCCAGGTGACAGGAGTCATACCCCTCCCAGCCTCCATCAACCACAGAGCCCAGCCCCAGAGCGCCATGTGCCCAGGCCAGGCAGGGGACACACAGAGGGCACAGCTACCCCCAACAAGACCACCACACCACCAGACCTTCCAAGCCAGGCTGGCTGTGTGTTCACCCCTGCCCACATGTGACCAGGTGGCCGTGGGCAGCGGAGAAGCCAGGGTGTCAGCTGGGATCTGCATCACAAATGGAAAGCCTGCCTCTGTGCCCCCTGCTGGGGCTGCGCTGACCCCAGCACTCCGCACCCAGCACCTAGCCCGTTGACTCCAGCAATCCAGAGGAGCTCCGTGTGGAGGACCCCACCCTGCCAGGCCCAAGGGGTTGGGGGAGGTGGGCCAGGAATCTGCACTTTTGGCCAAGGTCCAAGGTGGCTAGGAGGTGCCCCCACACCCCTGGACTGGATAACAGAAGCCACACTGCACACTGGGCCACGGCCGCAGGAAGGGCAGGCACATCCAGACTGTCTACCTGCAGGTGTCACAGGTATGTAGCTCTGGGCTGGAAGGATCTCAGGGGAAGGAGACACGGTCTGGTGAGGTCCTTGCTCATCTAGGGGCTCCAGAATGAAGATGAGTGACCCCGTTACTGGGGTGAGCTGACCCTCCTGCCAAGTAGCAGACCGAACTGTCAGGTCAGCTCTCAGCCAGAGAAGCAATCCGAAGCCAGGCTCCACTCCTGGCCGGCAGACCAACGGCAGCCACGGGGGACACGTCCGAGCGGGAAGGCGGAGGGGGCCCCAGGGATGTGACACAGATCCCCCCTCCTAGTCAGGAGGGGCAGGCACAGCCCCCGTGCTGCCTCCCATCACCAGTCGGAGCATTCCCGTGCTGACAGGAGCAGGCCCTTGTCGCAAGGGTTTTGCCCTGAAGCCCAGACTGACGTAATGGTGCGGGCAGCAGGAACAGGGACACGGCCTCCCTCCAGCAGCAGCTCAGCCAGGAGCAAGCGCTGCTGAGCCCTGGAGCCCAGGTGTCAGACCTGAAGCTGTACCCTGAGTTTTACCTTGCTCATCTACCCAGGCAAGGCTTGCAGCCAAAGCCCAGGAAAGGTTCTGGGGGCTACGAGGGTCTGGATGTTGGCTACAAATTTGTGTGTGAGAATATTCTGGAAAGGTAGACTTTGTTTTCCAGCACTCTCTTAAAGGGTCAGTATGTCCCCCAAAAGGGTTAAGGAGTAGAAATAGGCACGGAAGGCTCATGTCTATCATCCTAGCTGCTAAGGAGGCGGAGCCCTGGGGACTGCAGTTTGAGGTCAGCTCAGGCAGACGAGTTCACAAAACAATGATCTCCGATTAGCAAAAAAAGCAGAAATTAGTGGCATGGCTCAAGTGGTAACAGAGTGTCAGCCATGAGTGGAGAAAAGCCAAGCAAGCACAACTGAGTTCAAGCCCCGGTGCCCACACAAAAGAAAACAAACAGAACAAACAAAAACAGTGACCAGGTGATGAGAGTCTTAGTCAGCAGGGGCTGCAGACACTGGGTCCCACCAGG